CCTGGTATTTTAAAGACTTTAACCCATATATATTTGGAAAGATGGATATTTCAGAATCTTTATCTCCCTACATCATGTACGTCACGCCTGCGTATCCATCAATTTTATAAAAAAAATTCAAAATTTGTCAGGAATGGGTCTTCTGGTGTGCTTACAGGCTAATACTTGATCGCGTTTTTAAGAAGAAGGGCAATAACTCATACTATATATTTTCCGATTTTTCTGATTATTAATAGAGTTCACCCTTAGATGACAACAAACACTCACTCCAAGTTTCGTCAAAATCTGTCAATAATTCAACCTTCTAGAGCGTACACAAGATCAAAATTGAACAAGAGCAACAACTCATACTAAATGTTTTTCACTTTTTCTGATTTTCACAAGGGGTCATCCGTGGGTGATTACAAACAATTGTACAAAGTTTCGTCAAAATCGGTAAAGAATTGTGCCTTCTAGTTCAATTGTGGACGGACCGACAGACGACGGACGGACATGGGTGACGACAATATACGCCCACATATGTTTGGGACTAAATAAACCAATTTAAAAAAAAATTGTCATGTCATGGCATTGAAGCATTGATAATGAGATGTGGAGATAAATTTGAACGTAACGATGATGTAAACGTTGGAGGGAACTTGAATGTTAGATACAAGGAGCTCGGGATGTCTACGCCTTATCTATTGACTATATTGTCAAACGGTCATTGAATTTAGACTTTTAGTTTTACTCATCTTAAACGGATTGTAAAGAGGTTTTATGAATTTGTAAGTGTATAGAGCATCAATTTGCACCATTCCAATGTCCAATCAGACGTCTATGGTTCCTGCAATTCCAAGAATTGAAGCTTGATGACGTCACTTATTGTTAAGTTATGCTTTATCATAAGGCCCTTCGCGATTAGTGACGTCATCAAACACTTATAGTGAAATTGCAGAACTACAGACTTCATTTTCAGGGGTTGGTTTGGGTACGAAAGTCGCATTTCTATTTCTATATATCTGGTATCCACGAAAAAGCGTTCCAAGTTAGACGGGTTGTATCTCAGCTGTTGTTACACTGACCTCTTTAACAATTCTTACAGATAGACTTCAAGATGTTGTTGTCCAACTATTGCCGTTGAGATACTACCAGTCGAACTATGGGACGTTTTTTTTTTGTGACAGCCCATTATTTCGATGTCTCGGGTGATTTTAACTTTCAAACGCAGATTATTCTGGACACACATAGATTTAGAGGCTCAAATGTACGATTTGTTAGCCCCTTGGGATAAGACGCCTCCTGGGGATAACCAGGGCTCTGGGATAACTCTAAAGTTAATCACCAGATGGCGTTAATATCTGTCTAATTAGTCACGTGATCCCTAACGACTTCCCTCTATTTTTGTAGCTAACTTGAAGGCCTGCTAAAAAAGTTACAGTTCATAAAAGGTTTGTGTCGGTTTTATCTAATTTTTGGGGTTGGTGTCGTAAGGTTTGGTAATCTCAATATTGTATGAAATAATTATCTTTATCTGTGTTTTTGAAATCAGGTTTCTACTGACATGATTCGCTTAACAAAAACAAACGTAAAGTTTATGATGTTTCTTGCTGACCTGTTTACAAAATAGTGAGGGCTCCGGGGCAAGTCGCCCTTTTAAGGTCAGGGCAAGACGCACTTGGGGGCGTTTTGCCCCTCGGTGTGGGGCGTTTA